AGGCCCGATTTTTATCTGGACGTTATGTCACTAGATCATTCTATAGAATTACTCTCAGAGGAGGTTGCCCATTTTGGTCCTTACATGAGTCTGGACAAGTTTTCTTCCAATCAAGAGTGCTTAGTAAAAAGTAATATTTAACAGCTGCAAAAGGTAAGCATGGTTTTGGACCCCTCACACTTAGGAATTCAAAATCCTGGAAACATCACACACTTTCAAAAGTTATTTTAATAAATAAGTCTACTATAACTGTAATTATTAGCCTCAGCAAAGAACAGTGAGTGACCTTCTCACCACTTCACAGTGGATGTTTAGATGACTATGATACTTCATTAGTTGATGGGAAACTTCCCATCGGAGGTGAAATCATCTATCAAACAGATGGCAAGCTATTCAACCTCAGCAGACTGAAAGCCAAAACCGAGGTCACAACAGTATCTGTTATAGAACTTCAATATGCTGATGATAACATAGTCAGTGGGCATTCAGAAGATCTACAAGCCAGAACTCTCCTCCCAGGACCCTTCCACACAGCCATATTACCCAGAATATCAAGGCAGAAAATCCCACAATATCTGCTTTGAACTGGGTTATCTGAGTTCACACTGCCATATATTCCAGTTCCAAGCAGAAAATGTGTGTGGAAGGGTCCCCAGTTCAATTCTTTGCTGTCCCCTTGAGCTTCACATCTCTGCTTTTCTGACCTGTGTTCCCTGTTTCCCCCTTTGCTGTCTCATACCTTCACTGTCTCTTTCAGGGTATGCTGGACTGAACCCCCTCTCTCCCGTGGTCCTTCTTACAGGAGGCAAGAGATCTTGTTACTATGGCCCCTACGACAGAGCTGCATAAAATCTATATTGAACTGGATTATATGGCAGACTCAGATAACCCAATTCAAAGCAGATATTATCTTGATATCATTGATATTCTGGGCTATATGGCTGTGTGGCAGGGCCCTTAGTTTCCTCTTTCCTATTTATCACAAATTTCAGGAGAACATAGTCACTCCCATCTAAGGATCCCACCACTTCCACTCCATTGACCATGAGCTTGTTTGGAGGTTCTAGCAGGGGAGTGCAACTATCGTATACCTGGGACCGAAGACAGGAGACCTCGGTACGCTCCTATACCTGAGACGTTGTCCTTTTCCACCGAGCGTGCAGCTTCAGGATGCACATGGAGCAGTGAGGGAGGAAAGGGAGACCCGTCTCAGCCGAATCAACCCGCGAGATCAATGGGGTGACAGACGTCACAGCAAGATCGCCCTCACATCCATAGAAGAATATATACTAGGGCTAGGTTTGAACAACTCTGTATTATGATGCAAACTGGGTGTTACTATAACATCCCAAGAAGTGAGAAATTCTGAGAGATTCTGCGTATGGGGAGAACAGTGGAACATTTCGTAATTGACTGTCCAGCATGTACTGAACTGCAATACAGATATTTACATCCAATATTATCCAACTGCAGGCCCCCGAACAGAAATGATCTTCTGATATTTCTCTTGAAAGGACAGGAAAGATCCACCATAATCAGAGTAAGCCTTTTTATTCTGAAAGCTCTCAAGAAAAGAGCACATTTCCTGACAGAAGAACCAGGAAAATACGACTCTGACTGTAAATAGAAGGTTAGCTGCTGTCCTCTCCTTTTTGATTTGTCTTTTATTCATGTTGTATTTTGAAATGGTCATATGACTGGTCAAATAAATAAATTATTATATTATCACTCCATTGGCCAGGTCCTCGGAGTTGGTTAGGATGAGATCCGGAATAGCTAATCCTCTTGTTACCTCTTCCACCTTCTGGATAATAAATTTATTTGCAAGACAAGTGAAGAATTTCTGGTTTGGAAGTGTTATTTCTTGTTTAATTTTATGGTACTTACTTTGAAAGTAGTTGTTATACTCCTGAAACTTCATTTTTGTGGTTGGCACAAATTATGCTAAATTGGTTGAGACTCTATGAGATAGTCATTGAAAAACTATAGCAAAATGTGCTGCAGGATGTCCCACATAAACAAAGTTTTTGCAGTTTAATGAACCTTTTACATATTTTTATTATAGATCCTATTAAGAAAGGACATTTATAAACTAGGAACAAAAATCGTGTTAAATAGAGTTATATGTCTCATCCTACTAGGCTTCAGTTATGCCTATTACATAACTGTTTTTATTGTGCTAAGAGTTTGAGTTCATCTTATTTCCTATGCTCTGTGCATTAGTGTAGAGACGTTTAAGCCCATGAGACATACCCCCGCTCTAGCTTTTTGAAATTATTGTCCTCTCATTGCTTGGTATTTGTTCTGTTTATTCATCTCTCTCTTTAGCCTTTGGTCTGTTCCCTGCAGGCCTTGATGAACTAGTGTTTCCAAGAGTATTGTTACCCTCCCCCCTCCCACACACAATTTAATTTAAAGTCTGCTGATCAGGTTGTGAGTCTCTCAGCAAAAACATTCCTGACAACTTCTGTGATAAGCAACCCATGGCAGAAGCCCATCTTCATGGAAAAGCAGACCATGGCCCAGGAAGCAAAATACAATAGTTCTTGACCACACCATTATCAGAGCTAGTTGTTCACCTCTACTATTTTTCTCACCCTTCCTGGGTTGCATTGTGCAACTGACAAAAGAGATGAAAAAACAACCTGTACATTAAGATCTTTTAGCTTTCTCTCATAGCTTCAAAATCCCTTCTAAAGTTTTGAAGACTATGCCTTGCGGTATCATTGGTTCCCACATGACCAAACAAGAAAGGGGGATGACCAGTGGACTTGATAAGTTTACTTGTGATATAACTTACTTGCGGTTAAATATTGTGGTATTGTAATTTTGTGTTCATTTTTAAAATGAGCTTGATGGACAGTCCATTTCTCTTGACAAATATCTAGAAAATCCAGCTATGTATCAACTGAGAAGTAATGCAGAATATACCAACCCATAAGGTCTAATTATTTATAAGTGGTATAGATGTGAGGGTATAATTCGTGTTTAAATACTAAGATGCTTTCATTCTCATTGTACTGGAGACTTGGGAGGATTTCTCAGCTTTCCTATTCATAGTACATATGTTGGAGCTCAGGCCATGCTAGTTACTCAAATGTTGTTCCTTTCCCATGCAGTGTTAATAAATCCCTTGTGGAAGGACCCAAGTCTCATTTGTGTTGCTTGGCATATCCTTTCATAATCCTAAATTCAGTTTGGCACGAAATGACTGGCCCCTTCTATAGTGTCATATAAAATCCAGATTATCTGCTTTGAACTGGATTATACGGCAGTGTAGATTCATGGCCCTTCTACACATGGTTAAAAACCCAGAAGTAACAGGGTTAAGAGGGAAGGTGGCTAAACGAAATTTAGCCAAAATGCGAGTGGATTCGGGTTAATAACTAAAAAGTAAGTGTTAAAAAGATGCACTTAAAACCTGATTCTGCCGGGAAAATGTGCACTTCCTCAAGCTCTATATCTCTGCAGCCATACAAATCACATGCTTTCCTTCCCTTCCCTGTGTAGACTCCATCAGAGCACATGCACTTTTTAAAAGCTCAAAACAGCTAGCTGATTGGGCAGTCGAGCCACAGAAACACAGGTGGCTCAAGGAAAACACAAATGGAAAGCAATTAGAACTCCTGGAAACTCTTTCTTTTAAATTTTATAATATGAAACAGAGCTTGAATTTAATTGAGTGAAAAGATAAGAAATCTACTTCTGTGTACATTAAGATATTCACATGTGTGCATATGAGGTCCAACGCATAATGGAGTGATTTATTTTTAAAAAAAACTTCCGCCAGATGTCCCCCGTGCACCTGCCATCTTGATCCATTTCAAAAGAAGGCTGTGTGGATGAACGGGGTCCATTTACCAGGATCAATAGGTCTGTATGTGGACCTGCTGTCAGGTCCCTGGATTTATTGCCTGTTTTAAAACACGCATTTTGGTGTTGTCTGGAAGCAATGAGGATTATCTGCTTTGATAATATGGATTATATGGCAGTATAGAAGGGGCCTGGTAGAGGATGCAGCAATTTTCTTTTGTCTGATTATAAGGGAAGAGCAAGATTCCATCCCCTCCTCTTCCCCTGCGGTATTTCCTGTAATTCAAGTTTGCAGCAACCAAAGTAAATTGAGGACAATGGGGAAGTGGAGGGAGATTAAAACCGGGATATTTTAAAACAGTTGAAAAAGTGAGGATAATTAGGAGTATCCCTGCCAAATCAGGACAGTTGGAGAATATGCACCTTTGTGCTCTGCTACTGTCTGAAAAGTATCAATAGATTCTACTGAGCATTTTGGTTTTTACCTTAATACTACAGTAGAAGTAGCAGCATCTGGAAATAACCTTGGAATGAAGTGGGAAACTTTTTCTCTAATGAGAAATCTTTCAAAAGCCCACTTCACATGTTCCAAGGCAGCAATAGTTCCTGGCTTGCATGAATCCCTGTTTGTTTCATCTTCAGCTGTTTTTTGTTGTTGCTGTTGTTGCTGGACGGAATCGGTGGAGCTGTAACTCCCTTGCCTCTGCCTCTGACCTCCTCCGTCTGCCTCCATCCTTTCTGCTCAGCCTTGGGAAACTCTGGACCAATGGTCATGGAGCTGATTTGCTCTCCCATGTAAGACTGGCTGGACCATTTCCTCCCATGCAGAGAACTCTATTCCACCAGGAATAGACATCAGTTCAGCCTCTCCACTGTATTACTGCCAAATGCTGGAGCACAATATACTGTAAGTGATTTTTAACTAAAAGCTAATGTGAAAATGGAACCCAAACCAATGTAAACATATTAAGTTTAAAGACTATTTTCAGATGTTGTAGAGGGGGAAATTACTGTTCCTTGTCCTTAAAGTCCTTGAGGACACATTTCTTTCTCTGAGTCATGATATAATTTTAATTAGATTACATTTTATTGGACTTCTTTACAAATTGTAAAAGTACTGGCTTTTATACATGCATGTAAGAAAATATTGTTGAAACCATTGTACTGGGGAAACTCATTAAAACAGATTTTAAAAATAGGAATAGTTTATTTATGTCTTATTAAGACATGTATATCTAAAGTGCATTATGTTACAAAAATATAGAAGTCAGCAGCACCAAGATAAAAGTTCATAGAAATAAATACATTATTCAACAAAATAAATTATGGTAAATGTAACAAGAAGATAGCACAAAAAAAATCCCCCCATATTCACAATGTTCAGATGTGCAGTTTTGAAAAGCATCTGTGGCCAAGGTTTTATTTGATACAATATTTACAGATAATAAATACTTCTAACACTTTGCATATGTTCACTATTACAGAATACTGCAATGTGTTTTCCAAATATCTCAGCTGAAGATGTCAACGCCTCCTGTAAAGAAAGACAAGAGGAAAAGGAAAAATTATTTTTTCCACACAAAATAACTGGAGGCAACATTACTAGTCTCAAAAATAGGGTGTGCCTGCTGGAAGAGATGATGAATGTTGGATACATTTATGTATTTTTGTTGTTGTTCAGTCTCTACTGTACATTGCTTTCAATACAATGATATTAGCAAAGCAAAATATTACAGATCAATTCCAAGTAGCTGATCCTTTGCAGCTGAGATATTCCCTTCCTCCTGCTGTAGTTATTACCAATGCATCTTATTTTAATCACCATTTAAGGTTGTTCCACTGAAACTAGGTGTGGGATAAAGAATCTCAACAAGCGCCATAATGCTGATTTGAAAAGAAACAAATTAACCTGGGAATATACTGCGAGGTCTACCAGCTGGCAAAAGCAGAAGCAAAGCTGCAAAGCTGCAAAATCCATCTTCCAAGTCTACATCAGGCAGCCAAATCCCATGCATGTGTGTTCAGTTTTGTTTCCTGAATATGACTCTGTTCCATCTTTGTCACTTTATTCTATATTTCCTACTGAGGGTGGCCATTGGGATTAGATGTTCTGATTTGAACTGTATTCTCCAGTCTATTTCTGAGTGATCTTTTAGAATGCCAGGAACTACAAGTAGGATAGAAGTATTAGTTTATCGTAATGTTCACATGCCCCCTTGGTTGTTTGTGCCAGTATAGATGAGCAAATGCCCCACAAGCAGAGCCTGCACACTATGGTGACCCAATTGCCATTGTCATGCTGCCAAGTAAAAGGAAGATTTCTGCACATCAGCTCTCACATGGTGGTGGTTTGAATCCACCCTAGATCCTGACATAAGGCGGAGAGGTCCATGGGGAAATAAACACAATCAACAGAGTACAACTTTTCTGATTTAAGTTCCATGTACTTGGCTTCTTTTTTGATGAGGAAATCTTCTCTCATCTGAATGCAGCCAGGGTCTCATTTGGTCCATGCCACAGTGATTTCTAAATTAAACAGATTTGTTGGGCAAATGTGCAGTACTAGCAAATGTACTTGGCTATGAAACAACAGCATATAAAAATGCACTCTCAGTAGTGCTTATGCTAATACTGGTACATTTTTTCTGCCTGTAGGACATTTTTAGAAGCTTTAGTAGCCAATTTCACAAACACCACAAAAACGTCCTGATTGGTGCCAAATTTACTATGTATGACTTGGCAGTGGACATTCTCAGGCTATATGGATAGCTAAAGTAAAACACATCAAAGTTAACACACACACACACAAACACACAGAGGATTGCATCTGGAAAGCAAAACAATGCTTGGATATATGACAGCTGCATGGTCCCCCCCCCCCCCGCACCCATACATCAGCATCACACAACTCTGGAGGTGACTGGCCCAATTAGTGTGGACAAGCGAACAAGGGGAGCATGTCAAGTTGCCATTTCACAGAAACACTGAGAATACAAAAAACCGGGTGTCCTAATTACGCACGCACTTTATGGAATTAAAACTTGCAGAACAGTTGCACAATAACTTATTTTATTCCTCTACTTGACTTCTGATTCAAGATTTAGATAACTCCCAAACTACTCTATCACCTGCTTTTGCTGCATTTGGAATTTTGATGTAGAGGCTAGATTGAGAATTGCAAAAGCTGCAATCCTTGGAACATCACGAGGACCCCTATGAATGTTAGCTACTGAAATATTTAAAAACAAATGGTCATCTTGACTTTACTTTTTGTGTGTACAAAATAAACCATTTTTAAACTAGCAGTTTGAAAGTCATGGATTGATGAAAATGTCATCAAAATGATATGGAGAGCACCTGCTGAATCCCTCCTGTGTACAAACACAGCACAGGAAGAAGATAAACATTTATACTGCTAGGAGGAAAATCCCCTCCTAACAAATTGTTTTATGTGTAACCCACAGTAAAAAAAAAAAAAAAAAAAAAGGAGCTACACAGCCCAGCCAGAAGGTAACAAATGCTTCCCCCTTGTAAGTGAAAGCACAGCATTTCCATGGGATGCTCAATTTCACTGCCTGGCTTTGCTGTGAGGCAAGCACTGGGAAGCTATTGGTATAGATGAATTTCTGTGAGAAGGTAAGAGAAAAAAAATTTGAGCTTCAATTGAGCTAATTAATCTAAAGTAGAATGTGGATTATAGAGATCCAGTGGATTTGTATGGTCCCACTCATATCTTCCAGCTGATTCATGTGGTGCCTGTATAAGCACTTAGGAGTAAACCAGGTTTTTATCATCTACATTCTGCTCTGAATTAACTGGGTGTGTAGAAGCATCCTATATTTTCTTTCTGAAAGACTGGGATCTTTAGCAATTGGTTTAGAAAAAAAATGTCATAGGGACTCTGTGCTAAGTTGCTGCTCTTATATTGTTCCACTTATTCGAAAACCTTCCTTGTCATATATGAGAGAAGCACATTTCATCTACACCCAGGATAATGCTCAACATTTTTCAGCAGCAATGTAATTGTTTAACAAGCTGGCAGCAAAACTGGAACTGAACTAACAAGTCTTAAAGACAGGGAAAATATTATAATAGAAGGCTCGCCAATGTTAGAAGATATTATTAAGAGAAACTTTCCATGTTCTCCCCTAAGGTTAACATGGAATTTCTGTTTAAGTGAAGTAAATTATTAAGAAGAAAACAAACCCTATTTGTACATGTGTACACATTTAAACAGGATTTTCAGATTCATAATCTGGAAAGTATTTGATTCCTATGTTTGGAAAATGTTGCTAAATTTGAATAAGTAAAGAAATAATAAACGTAAAATGCATTATTTTAAACTATAATGCAATAATGCATATACACTTGAGATGCATTATCATTCTATAAATACAAAGCTTTCTGTGATTAATTCCTTAAACAAATGAATATATAGTAATGCGTGGACTTCAGGTCTTGAAATGCGATTTACAACTTTGCTGCTGGATAAAACACACTATGTATCAATGATTTAAAAAATGGTTGGCCCTCTCTTGTTCTCCAGAAGAAAGATATCATTTATCATAGTAAGATACTTTAAAGCAAATGGAGTAACTGCTGGTGCAGAAGAATTCCTCAAACGCTTCTCCTTCCCTCTCCCTGTAATCTAGGGGAAATATGAATACATTCTTACTTTGAGGCAAGGTATGATCCTTTCAAGCAACAGTTTGGGGTTGTATTGAGTTTTCCTTGTGTAAGCCCCATGCACCCAAGAATCAGACTGCTCATGCACAGTTCTTTCTTGTTTCAAGGGGCTTACAAGGAAGAACTTCCCATGTGGTATTTCACCATAGGCAGTATACTGCTTTGGGAATCAAGACTTGGACAGAGGGGAAAATGGATTTTGCCTTAAAACTTGCATATTTTTCAACTCCCAGCAGTGCTAGGGTTAGCATAACCAATGATGAGAATGCTGGGGGTCTCCGTCTAACAACACCGGAGAGTTGTAAAATTCCTACCACTGTCTTAAAGACTGAAGGTCTTACCTTTTATTAATATGTGTAGTAGCAAAGATGTCCAAAAGCGGGATTTGTACCATTCCACTTCCAGAATCTCTGGAGTTTAGCCAGGCCGAACGAACTCTTCTCTTTTTCTTCTCTTGTTCCTTACGTTTCCCAGGTTTTCCTTTCTTTTTCTTCCCTGGTGTCTTAAGAGGCTGTTCTTTGTACATCTGAGTTTTATTGGTCTCCTGAGTCAGGTATTTGCCTTCGTCATCACTGCCAAACCGAATGGCATAGTTCTTTGCAATGGTGGCAGGTTTAGGATTTGGTGATACCTCTGGCATAGCCCGAATCTCGGCTGTGTTTACACCTTCAATTAGATTTTGCAGGAAATTTCGTCTTCGCATATCTTGGTAAGACTTTCCTTTGTCATGTAACAGCTGATATTCCGATACAGTCCTTTTGCTGCTTAAAAAAAAGCAAAACCCTATGTTACTAAATCACCAATGGCATGCTGTTATGGAGCCCATTTGTCAAAAACCCATCTGTTTGCCAGTGTAATAAGTAACTATAGAAAAACAACCCAATTTGCCCATCTTTTACCTTTTGGGGCAACTAATAAATATTCTGAAATAACTACTATGTCTTAGCTGTTCTGCACAGAATCAGAAAATCGAAACTGGCATAATTCACCAACTATTTTATGTGTAACCCACTGCTTTTTTAAAAAAAAGTGTCAAGAACTATCTTTGCTAAATAATTACTTAATTATAGCTAAAAATCAGCATTCCTCTATATAATGTGAGTAAACACATGAAATTAGGAGCAAAATTACACTCAGGTTCTTCTGACATCATCTTTATGGCATTTGCATTGATACAATGTTTTTCTCTTGCATTACATTTGTAATATCAAAATCATTGGACCATTTGGACAGATTTCATGACATGGTTTTTTTTTGTGTTGGCACACTTTGAATTTCTAGCAGTGGCAACACTAAAGTGATGTAGTGGTTTCAGCGTTGGATTGGAAGTCTGGGAGACCGGTGTTTGAATACCCACTTACTAATGGAAACCCAATAGGGTAATCTAGTCAAGTCGTATTCTTTCAGCCTCAGAGGAAGGAAATGGGAAATCCCCTCCTAACAAATCTTGTCAGGAAAGTCCTATGATAGATTGGCCTTTGGGTCACCATAAGTCAAAAATGACATGAATTCACACAATACTCTTAAAAAGAAGGTGTGTAATGGGCTTCTCCCAATCAGATATGCACTTTCAAATAGTATCAACAGGGGCTAAAATTATACACAGTAGTAGCAAATAACATCAGAACTGGCTTGGCTTAGACAAACACCATAATCATGCATGCCTTTTATCTGGCAGTGTAGACTCGGATAATTCAGTTCAAAGCAGATAATGTGGATTATTTGCCCTGATATTCTGTATGATATGGCAGTGTAGAAGGGCCCTTAGAAAAAGAAAGTGACTGCTAGAAGTTAGACTGGAAAAAAATATTGGGGAATGGCAGGAATTCCACAACACTGGATACAAAGTGTAGTGTAGAGGGCACATCACTCCAGTCTTAAAGATAATTTTGGATAAATTGACCCAGAATGGCTAAATTTTGCCTTCTCTGCTGTCCATTATATAGCCGACCCAATACAAGATATATTTCGCTGAATACATTGGTCTAACTCTTGGTTAGACTTCCTTATAAAGTGATGGAGCAGTAAGAGGAGCATGGTTTATAGAGAACCCAGCTATTATTATGAGAGCACTGCAGAAACATATGCTCCTTCTACACTGCAACATAAAACAAATTATCAAATAAAATAATCCAGATTATCTACTTTGAACTGGATTATATGAGACTACACTGCTATATAATCTAGTTCAAAGCAGATAATCTGGACTTTATATAACAGTGTACAAGAGGCCATAGACATCTCTTACACAGAGTAGATCTCTTTTACAACTTGAAAATATGTCTTTCCCTTCTTTTCTTTTTAAGAAAAACCACAGGCAAACCTGCTACTACACTGTAATTATAATCTGGTACAGCCAAACAAAACTGATGCGGAATGCTTTAAAGACTATATTTTGCTTCCATTGGCCATCTTTAATGTAGGGCACGTTGTCTTGGCAGAAAATTTCCAGGCGATGTTCTTGATACCTTGTTTTCAAATATCCCACCTTCTGTTCACCCATTTGCCTCTGCAATATTTGCCTTTTACATTTTCTGTGCTAATTTTCCCTTATCCCCATTTTAAGGTAACATTTGCCACCTATCATGTGAGCTTTCTTTCAGTCTAGTTAAGTAATGGTTTAATCAGACATTTTGCAATCAGTGAATAACCAGGAAGATAGGGAAGCACAGTCCACAGAAACCATATTGTGGTCCAACAGGTGATCCAAGAGCTTTTTGAGGAATAATTAACTATGGGAAAAGGTGTACTTTTCCCTCAGGGTAAGGTGGATATGCTGTGAAATACCAGGCAAAAATGGAAGGTGGAATGTTTTCAAAGAATGTCTCAAGAAGCTATCCTTCCAATCTGCATTAGGGAGAATGTGCCAAGGCACAAGTATGAACTCACCGCTTCTGTCTGAATATATTATAAATGAAGGAACATCTAGTAAGAGTTTGTGATGTTTTGCTTGAAGCCAATGAACTGTGTTATAAGTCAGTCTTATTAACCTATTACACTGAAGAACATTAATCTATGTCAGTCATGGGAGCAACAAATCTGGTTATTGCTTGTCTCATCTATCTCCTTGATGATTACTGTTCCTCTGGTGTTAGAACTATACAGAGACTTACTGATATTTGTGTAGGTCAAGGATCAAGACGTCTTCAATATTAAAATGGAAAGCATGTTATTGTCCACCCCATAAAGAGCCCATGGCTTACCTACTCCGTTCTTATTGTTTGATTACTCTGCATTTTATGATTTACATGTGTGAAACATGACTTCAGGGGGATATATTGTGTTTTAAGTGACACCAGTCTATCAGTGTAATATAATCTGCAGTAGTCCTTAGGGAGGTACACATGCTAGGTGGTCTTCCATTTGAATCTCAAGTCAGCCCTGAGCTCAGTTGCTAGTCTCAGAAACACTGCATTCTCTCTCTTCCTCAGTTTCTCTCCATAATATATGGATAATAATATTTATTCACTGAAATAATGTTCATGAACTGATTTGAATGTCTGAGGGTTCTGTAAACCGGCCAAGTGTTAGTGTTCCTATAATTAATGACTTCTTCATGCATGAAACATGTCAGGATGTTATACTCATCAAGTCAGTAAATCAGCCTTTGAGACCTTGGCATCAATGCAATGTTTTGGAATCCTACTGATATGATCAGTTTAACATTTAAAAAAACAAGAAACAAAACAACACACGTGTGTATGCACGCCCTCTCTCACACGTACATGCATGCACACACACACACAAAATAGTTAGGTGATTTCTAGGGTCAAACCGCGTTGAGTCGCCAATTTAGGCTGAGATACAAGCGCAGTAATAAATAATAAAACTCAATAAATCTGTTATTCAAGCCTTAGAGGTTCATATTGTGGACACTCTAGAATATTAACAATAGAAATACTTGTGTGTTTTTTTTAAAAAAAACCAAAACATTGATGTACACTATGGAAAAAAACTCCTGAAGTGATTAAAGGTGCGTCTATGCTTAAGGAATTATGGTTTTAGCCAAAATACTACATATATGGATTTTTATTATGTCCTCTTTAAAATTGCCCTTCTAAAACTAATCCAAAAGGGTACATTTCTTACGGTAACCACTGTGTCCTGTATCTGTCCATGGTGATTACCACTTATGTTCTCAAAACAACATTGTTTAAATTAACTTAGTTCCTTGAAACCATACAAGTTTAGCCTACTTTTTTTCAACTGTGTCATTCTGGTCATGGTGACATATATAGCCCTACTGGCTTTTCTCAGGATGCTTTCATCATATTTTTTCTCACCCTTTAACACTTTAAATTCTTAGCTTAAATCTCATTCAAAATACAACGCTCAAAGGCCTGGTATGTTGAAATAAAGATGTATCTCTAATCAGGTCACAATGCCTCTCACAAACTCTTTATTTTTTCCCAATCTCTTCCTGCATCCTTATCTTAATATTGACTCCTATCTTTAGGCTCCATCTGCAATTTTTCTCTCAAGGATCTGTGATGTTTCAGTTCCATTATAGAAGCTGATTGTGGGTCAGGCATTATTCTTTTAGCATATAGCTATGATCATCACTTCACATCAGCTCAGTCAGTAGAATCAGGTAATATGATAACAAATTTTATTTGTTGTCCACCTCTCCTCATGGTGGGGTATAATAGATAAGAACACAGGTAAAACACAATACCGTTAAAATACATATACTGAAATAAATAGGACAAAGATTAAAATGCCAATACTAATAAAATATAAAGTTAAAATTAACTGTTTAAAATTGACTGGGTAGGTTCAATGAAAGAGCTAAGTCTTTAAAGTGTCTTAAAATTTGACAGCTTGTTTTATGATCACTTACAACAGGTCATTTCACAGTCTGGGGTGGCCAATGAAAAGTTCCTTTGGGAGACAGTTTTCAGTTGAGTTCTGGTTAGCTAAAATAAATTGCCCCCAGAAGATGTAAGTATGAGGGGCTGATTATAAGGGAAAAGACAATCCTGTAGGTAATGTGGACTGGTTGCCAGTTAGTTTCCAAGAAACTAACTGGCAACCAGTAGGGTGGTTTTAATATTGATGTATGATCACTCATAAGTGTTCCTACAACCAATATGGATGCCATGTATTGAACTAACTGGAGCATCTGAACTTGGTAAAGAGGTAGCCCAATGTACAGTAAGAAGGGATATTGATTTTTTTATATCATAAATACAAAACTGAACCCACCTATGGCATTGGCTTTCTGTAGTGGTGGGACTGTATGCTCCTATGAGGCAAGGAGCTATGTTGAAAGCAGCAATCGTACTGGCTGGGACTCCAGTGTAGGCAGCCTTTTGCTGAGGATACAGAGTAGATGTGCCAAACAGCTACTGGACAGCAGCAGTAGTGAAAGGATATACTGATAGATAATCTTTTAGAGAAAATGGCAGTAGTACAATAGCTAATGCTTGTTAGTATTGTACAGATGGAGGCACAATAATCCTCCTTTTTGAAAATATTTTACCATTCAAACCTTATGATGAGACAAACAAAAATGAAATAAGATATAGTGCCAAAAAATGAGACTCCCGCCTCAGAGAGCACTCAGCAAACTACTGGGGAAGAGCAGACAACTCTGGTCCCTTCCACTCTGATGAACAGTGGCAAAAGGAAAACCTGAAGCTGCACAGATTGGAATGTAGTAGTAGTAGTAGTAATAACAACAACAACAACATAATAATAAAACATACATTCTAATCCTCAAGAAAGGAAACATTAGGGATTGCAGTAGCCATAGGTCTGCTGC